GAAGGTCAAATGAGTATTGCCATGGAAGAAACTCGCCAAGTCCATGAGCGGACTCGACGAGTCGGATCGTGTTGCACCACGATTCGTGATAAGTGGTAGCCCGTTCAAAGAAAGGTTAACTCGACGAGTCGAGTGAGGCCTTAGGAGGATTCACAGGACACACATGGACTCGCCGAGTCACCCAAGTTCTCTCGACGAGTCTGGTCAAAGTTGGATCGTTGACTGAGGTTGACTTTTAGGGTTTGGTCAACATTTGGACATTGGACCATTGGAGGGGTAAAATGGTCTTTTTCCCTTCTGGGAAATTATAGGAAGGGATTAGTCTAGCCTATGAGAATCATGTTAATAAGAGATAAATTACTTTATGTGATTAGGTGAAGGCTAGATCGGGGATATCGAGCATGAGAGTTTACTAGACATCATACGAGGTCAGTTTTCTCACTATACCTTACCTAGAGTGGTAATTATGTGTGGCCGGAAGGTCATATGTGCTATGATGAGTATGTGGTATATGTTTCTATGTGATATGTATGTGTTATGTCTGTATTGAGTAAGAATGGTATGGACCGGAAGGTCAATATGGTATCGACCGGAAGGTCAACAGTGTATGGATCGGAAGGTCAATATGGTATGGACCGGAAGGTCGAAAGAGTAGGACCGGAAAGTCTACTCAGATTGTGGGACCGGAAGGCCCCTAAGACGCATTGACCGGAAGGTCTCGTAGAGCTACAGCCTCGAGTGGCTTATGTGTTGTATGTATTATTTTGGGGAACTCACTAAGAATTTATGCTTACCGTGTTATGTGATATGTGTTTTAGGTACTAGCGAGGATCGCGGGAAGGCGCCGGCGTGATCTGTACACACTGATAGAGGATTATGTATTTGAGATTCTGGGATATGTTTTATTATGATGACATTTGATACATGAGATTTTGAGAATATTATATGAGTTTTATTATGTGGGAAAATGAAAAATTGTTTTAAAATTTACGTCGTTACATCAAGAACTTCAACAAACTTAAGAGCATGAAGATCATTTGGGTCTTCAATAAGAGAAACATATTTCTTTTTGAACAAATATTTTTCTTCTCCATTCTTATCACTACTACGTGTTGATATGGACCATGTAATTTCAGCCAACCATTTAATCTCACAAAGTGGTTGAAATATCAAGCTTTCATGATCATCCTTCAATCCTCCATAAGAAACCATAGTTCCCCATGAAATCAACTTGTTTAACACCAACCCATAATATTGATTTTTATTGACTTTGTATTTGACATCTTCAACGATCACAATCCAAGAATTATACAGCAAATTCACCATGATCACAAAAACTTGAAGATTTCTAGAGAGAGAAAGTGATTTTGAATGGGTTTTCTAGAGAGAGAAAGTAAAAATCACTTGAATTCTAGTGAAGAAAATCGAATTATGAATAGAATCAAAGATGAATTCGATTTCTAGAATCCAAAAACTCTCTAAACCACGAAGATCAAAGATCAAAAACTAAATCACCAAATCATGAAAGCCATCAAGGATCAATTCTTGATCCAATCAAGAACACCCGCTCTGATACCAATTGTAGTGGTGTTGATTATGATGGCATGTGCGGAATTAAGAATGATTTAGTGAATCATCAAGTAAAATCAAGAACATGAACACAAGAAGTAAATAATTCTTTTAAGCTCTCATTAGTTTCATAGAAAGAGTACAAAATGGGTTTTGCTAATTCTCTCTCTAAACTAATCTCTCAAAATGTTCATTAGATAAAATGAGTGTCACTCACTTCCTTATAAAGGAAAGACAACTCATTATGCACAATCAAAGGAGTAAGCCCTCATGACATCCAAGAGTGACTTTGCACCCTTACACTTTAGGATCAGAAGATGCGGGCTTGTCAATTGGAGGTTCAAGATGTTCATCAACATCGAACCCAATACAATGGGTTTCAAATAGTTCTCTCCAAAGATTGCAATTCATACGATCAAGATCCAATACCAAAAGGACGACATATTTAATGTTAATAGTAGAAGAAGGAGTATTCGAAGCGCCTACATAATTAAGAAGAGACACAGAAGAAACAGCAAAGATGACGATGAAAAAAAACAGTCAACACTGGGAAGAAACGAGGGAATGGATCGGCTAGGGTGAGACTGATACCATGTTTGAAAAATATTTTCCCATAAAAGTATATGCCTTTCATTAAAACATATATATACCATATACAATGGATGGGCCGATGGCCTTAATTATAAATACATATGTACTATATACAATAAGTATAAATACAATAAATATGACCACTAACATATTTTTCTTTTCCATCAATTAAGAAGTTCCTTGATAGTTGCTATTAGTGGTCCCACATAATTATAAAAATTGGAACACTTTAGTCCTTATCATCATGAACATTATGGCTCGAGGTATTCACTTAGATATGATATTTACTAGAGATATATTCACTTAGATAAGGTTAGCCATGAAGAGGGCTGCCAAGGCTGTTGATTTGATGGGCTTTCTACCACAATTACATGACCCCCATAGTGAACTCCTTTTGTTTCGATCTTGCATGGGCATCTCCAAACTTTTCTTTGGCATAAGGACGTGCCAACCCATTCACATGGAAGAGTTTACTTTGTGTTTTGATAAAGGATTACATGGGTCGATTGAGGACATTGTGGTTTGTGGGGTTCCCTTCTTTGGGGACCTTCAATGGCGACTGCCTTCGTTACCAATTAGGTTTGGTGGTTTAGGGTTGTACTTAGCAGTAGAGGCTTCCTTCTATGACTGTGTGGCCTCACGAGCTCAATCGTGGGTGTTACAAGACCACATCTTATGAGATAGCGACATATGTGGTATGGATTAAAATTATCTTTGTGCTTTGGCCTGCCTTCATGATATGATTCCGGGCTTTGACTTCAGTGGTTTCACTAACAAGGACACCGCCCTTCCAAAAGTCCAACATTCATTGGTGAGTAGTAAAATTGTCCAAGACATGGAAGTTCACTTCGACATGATGATTAGGCAAAAAGCAATTTTTGAGTGTCTAAGGGCTCCACATGCTCAAGATTTTCTTATGACTATTCCTATTGACGGTGTTGGCCAACATATGTCGCCAGTGGAGTATCGTGTCATCCTCATGTATCGCCTTATGATCTCTTTATTTCCGGCTGATGAGACTTGCCCTGTTTGTCGCAAGGCATGCTTGGACTCCTTTGGGGAGCATGCAGTTCATTGTAGAGAGCTCCCAGGTTTCAAGTACCGACATGATCTGGTTAATGATGTTCTTTTCGACATATTTAAGCGTGCCTGGCTTTTTGCCAGGAAAGAGGCACATGTGAACTTTCTGACTGACCCATTGGAAGGAAGATCAACACTTAGACTAACTAATGTTTTAGTATTTGGATGGGCTAGAGGGAAGCATGCATGTGTGGATCTAACAGTGGTTTACCCTCTTGTAGGCTTGGGGAGTGAGGTTTTCACTGTGGAGCAAGCTGCTATAAAAGTTGCATCAAGCAAAGTGACAAAACATGAGAAAGCGTGCATGGAAAATCAACACACGTTTATACCTTTACATTTGATAGTTTTGGTTTCCTTGCGCCAGAAGCTGTGGAGCTCCTCAATAGAGTCCAACGGGTCATGCATAGTAATGTTATGGCCCCAAGATCTATAGATGTTGTTTTTAAAAGAATTATTTTTGTCATCCAAAAAGGGATTGCATCACAGCTTGTTGGTCGTTACCCGCTACGTCTATGTAAAACTTTCTTCTAATTATAATCTTATTTTATGTAACCTTGTTCGTGAAAATAAGGACAATCATTTTTTTTATTGTGGTATGGATCTTCTGATTTGGAAAGTTGAGATATTGATTTTCCTAATTTTTATATGGTGATATAATTGTTCTATTGAGCGACTCATATCAATGTTTTTAGAGTTCAAAGAAAATATTTGGATGTTTTTCTTAAAATTCCAAGGTTCATTAGAGATTTTGCAATGTCATTTTTTTTCAGCCCAACAAGCTAAAGAAAAATTTTATCTTCGAAATAAAATTGTCACCGACTCGTATTTAAGGATTTACAACAGAAGTAAGAAATTGAAGTGAATTATGTTTATTAGATTCAACATGTAACTCTAGTTTTGTCTTTCATGTAATGTTTGTTCTAGTTCCTTACTATGATTTTACTATAAATATATAATATTTTTTATTTCCCAAAAGATTTATGTAATTAGTTTTACTTAAATTAGATAAAATTGCATGATTGATCCATATAGTTTATATGTAGTTTATGAAAAGTTGTTCGATTAGTTCTTAACTATATTTTTTTTAACATGGATGGTTCATGTGGTTTTGTTTTGCTATGTTGTTAGTCTTTGAACCATGTCAAATGTATAATTTAGCCTTTTTAATATTTTTTCCTTTTACATATTTAAAATTTATACATATTATTTATATTCTTAATATTTCTTTTAATAATCTATAATTTGTTAGATGTTATTATATTGTATTTGTGTATTTTCCATAGTCCGGCCCTTTTAGATTAATGGCCCTTATCTTGTATTTGTAATATATATATTATGTTTAATGTGAAAAGGAGGCGAGGGAATTATATCAATCAACTTGGTATCAGAGCCCAAAAACTCTCACCCTAGCCGCCGTTTCTTCTCATCTTCTCCATCTGTTTCTTCTCGCTCTCCTTCTCCCAACAACAATGGTTGCACCCACTGTTGATTCTGTACCCACTGTTGGATCTATTTCAGAAAAACCATATGGAATCTCTAATATCAAAGCATCCATTCCTATCATCCTCGATCTGGAAAAGCTCAATTATGATGCTTGGCGCCAATTGTTTTTCACTCACTGTAAAGGGTTCGGTGTGGCTGATCATCTGGAACAACCGAACGACAAATCTGCTACTCCATCTGATAAAAGTGAATGGGAACGTATAGATTCCATTTTCATCATGTGGATAGATTGCACCATATGTGAATCGCTCCTTCAAATGATCTTGAAGAAAACATGCACTGCTGCAGAGATATGGGAAGACCTTGAAGCATTATTTCATTCCAACAAAGATGCAAAGGCTTTGCAACTCGACCTTGAACTTCAGAACATCACTCTTGGTGACTCAAGCATCTAGTCATACCTTACTCGCATCAAGTCCATTGCAGATCTGCTTGCCAATATCGATGCTCCAGTTCCAGAAAAGAATCTTGTCATGTATGCTGTTAATGGTCTTAGTCGAAAGTTTGATCATGTTGCTGGAATAATCTGTCACAGTAGGCCACTCCCGTCTTTTCTTGATACTCGCTCAATGCTTCTTCATGAAGAATATGTTCTATCCTCTCAATCGACATCATCAGTAGCAAACTCTTCATCTCATACCGTTCTTGTTGCTGATCAACAACATAGCAATCATGGAAATCGTGGTGGATTTAATAATCGTGGAGGAAGACATGGTGGTCGGGGTCGCGGGCGTGGCGGAGGACGTGGTGGCGGACGATGGTCTAATCAGACTCAGCAACAACACGCCCCACCCGGTTGGGGTTTTGGGTGGTATCCATTGAATGTTGCCGGTCCGGGTGTTCTTCCTAGCCCACATAGTCTACATCAGCAGCAACATATGGCCCAGTTTCAACAGTGGGTTGTTCCCACACAGCTGCTACAGTGATCTGCTCCTCAACGTCAAGCCCAGATTGCACCTTCAACCCATCAGGCTTATTCAACACATCATAATGGCAGCACCCCTCCTCAATGGGCATGGTTTCAACAAGCAGGAAATTCAACCACTTCGCAGCCCACTGCCCTTCCTGAAATGTTCAACGCCATGTCCCTTAATGACCCTTCGCACGATGGTTGGGTGATGGATACGGGTGCTACTTCACATCTCCACTCGAATGCAGGTATACTCCGTTTTATTAGCAATAAAAGCTTAAATTTGCCTTCGGTTTTAGTTGGCAATGGAACTAAAATTCTTGTAAGTAATTCGGGGCATGCTTTTCTTTCTAATTTTAATCCGTACCGCCCTCTTGTTCTTAAAAATATTCTCATCACACCTCAAATCATTAAAAATCTCATATCGGTTCGTCAATTTACTCGTGATAATCTTTGTTCAATTGAATTTGATGCTTACGGTTTTTCTGTGAAGGATTTTCGAACCAAGCAAACTCTCCTCCGCTGTGATAGCTCTGGCGACTTATACCCCGTCACGCAACCGACTCCGCAAACTTTTGTCTCCATCAATTCCTCTACATGGCACCAACGTCTTGGTCATCCCGGTCAAGAAGCATTTAAACATTTAGTTTCTCAAAATTTAATTCCATGTAAAAACAATAGAAATTCTTCTTTGTGTCAGTCATGTCAATTGGGAAAGCATGTTTGCCTCCCATTTAGTTTATCTGATAATGTTGCGTCTTTTTCTTTTGAAATTGTTCATTCTGATGTTTGGACATCACCTGTTCTTAGCAGTTCTGGCTACAAATATTATGTCTTGTTTCTTGATCAATATTCTCAATATCTTTGGGTTTACCCTCTCAAAGCTAAATCTGATGTTTTTGATAAATTTGTTCACTTTAGGGCTTATATTGCAAATCAATTTAAGAAAAATATTCAGTATTTTCAATGTGATAATGGTGGCAAATACAACAACACCAAATTCCATGATTTCTGCAACACTCATGGCATTCATATGCGATTCTCCTGCCCATACACCTCCCAACAAAATGTCAAGTCTGAACGAATGATTCGCACTATAAACAATTCAATTCGTACTCTATTATTTCACTCTCGCCTTCCGCCGACATTCTGGGCTGAAGCTCTCCTTATAGCCACTTACCTACTCAATATTATTCCATCTTCCACTCTTGGAAATATTTCTCCTCACCAAAAACTTTTCAATTCCACACCATCATACTCACATCTTCGAATATTTGGTTGTTTATGTTATCCACACATTCCTACTCCCCACAAACTCTCTCTACGTTCCACCCCGTGTATTTTTCTTGGATACCCGAGTCATCATAAAAGGTATCGATGTCTTAATCTTCACACCAATTCTATTATCCTTTCCCGCCATGTCACATTTGATGAAACTGTGTTTCCATTCGGGTCTATGACTCCTAACGCCTCTCCATCTTATTCCTTTCTTGAATCTGTTGACACTCCCAATCCTACCGCCTCTCAATTTCTATCGTCTCCTATTCACTCACCCTCACCATCTATCCCTTCTGTTGATCCCAACTCTACATCTGCTCCAACAGTCAATTCGACCGTCCCTTCTACTCCACAAACTTCTTTTCCCGACAACATGTCTTCCACATCCTCTCTTCCCTCAGGGTCTTCCACCCCAGACATTCCTCAAACTACCACCCAAGCGTCACCACATTTCTCCTCTGTTGAGTCCACTCACCCCATGATCACTAGGTCTCGTGTAGGCATCACCAAACCAGTTCATAAACTCAACCTTCTTACTAAATCTGTCTCTCCTCTTCCTAAATCTGTCTCTCCTCTTCCTCGCACTTACTTACAGGCATTTAATGATCCCAACTTGCTTAATGCCATGAAAGATGAATTTCAAGCTCTTATTTCTAACAAAACATGGGTATTAATTCCTAAACCTGCTAATGCTAATGTTATTAATTGCATATGGTTGTTTAAAAAGAAGGAACATGCTGATGGTACTTTATCTCGATATAAAGCTCGTCTTGTAGCTAATGGGCGCAGCTAGAGACCGGGTATCGACTGTGATGAAACTTTTAGTCCGGTGGTTAAACCAACCACTATACGTACGATACTAACTTTAGCCGTCTCCCAACAATGGCATGTTCGTCAACTTGATGTCAAAAATGCTTTCTTACACGGGCATTTACATGAGACTGTCTACATGCACCAACCCCCAGGTTTTCGTGACCCCAACTTTCCGCATCATGTTTGTCTCCTACAACGATCTCTGTATGGTCTCAAACAGGCACCGCGGGCTTGGTTCCAACGATTTGCGCAATTCTTGTTACGCCTTGGTTTTACTAATAGTCGTTGCGATACTTCTTTGTTTATTTATAAGCAGGGTCCTAACACTGCATACCTTCTTCTTTATGTGGACGACATTCTTCTTACAGCCTCATCTACATCATTTTTACAGCAAATTACTACCACCCTTGGTACTGAGTTTTCTATGACTGATATGGGGGATCTTAATTATTTTCTAGGGGTCTCCGTTACCAGAGACACCACTGGTATGTTCCTATCTCAGCGAAAGTATGCTCTTAAAATTCTCACTAGAGCCAACATGCTTAATTGCAAATCAGCTAGAACTCCAATCGACACTCTTGCCAAGTTGGATGATTCAGGTCCTCCGGTCACTGATCCCACCTTATATCGCAGTCTTGCTGGTGCTCTACAATACCTCACTTTCACACGACCAGATCTTACATATGCTGTTCAACAAATTTGTTTATACATGCATGACCCGCGAGAGCCTCATTTTACAGCTCTAAAACGTATTTTGCTTTATGTGCGTGGTACTATTGATCATGGCTTACAACTGTACTCCACTCCCTCTCATGGTCTTATTGCCTATTCTGATGCTGATTGGGCTGGTTGTCCCAAAACTCGTCGTTCGACTTCCGGTTATTGTGTGTTTCTTGGACAAAATCTGTTGTCTTGGTCTTCCAAAAGACAAGGTACTATCTCATGTTCTAGTGCTGAGGCTGAATATCGTGGCGTAGCTAATGTTGTGACAGAGACTTCTTGGATTCGCAATTTATTATTAGAGGTACATTGTCCTACTACTCGTGCTACTATTGTTTATTGTGACAATGTCAGTGCTGTATACTTATCTAATAATCCTGTTCAGCACCAACGCACAAAACATATTGAGATTGATATACACTTTGTTCGTGACAAAGTTGCCATGGGTCAGATACGCGTTCTACATGTTCCTTCCAAGTCTCAATATGCGGATATCTTCACCAAAGGCCTACCATCTTCATTATTTTTAGATTTCCGAGACAGTTTGAACGTTCGTCAGTTATCTCCCGTTCACACCGTGGGGGGCTGTTAGATGTTATTATATTGTATTTGTGTATTTTCCATAGTCAGACCCTTTTAGATTAATGGCCCTTATCTTGTATTTGTAATATATATATTATGTTTAATGTGAAAAGGAGGCGAGAGAATTATATCAATCAACTTAATTAACATAGTTTAATGTTTTGCAACCCACCCACCTTCCATCTTCTTCATCGTCCTTTGTTACCAACGACTTCATCTTTGCCAATGAGTACTTTGATCGCCTCCCCTCCTCTCTCTTCCACCAATATCACCACGACCATTTATGTCCTAAAATAAAGCCCAAACAATCAATTTCATAATCATTATGAAGTCCTTAAAACCCTCTACAACAAAATTAAATCTTGCAAACAAAACAAATTAAATCAAAATAATCAAATAAATCTAATTTCCAGTTAATGTCATACTTATTACATCACCATATTTTGGTTAAATGAAATGATTATCTAAAACATAGTTGATCAACTAGCGTTTTTGTTCATCTTTTATGAAAACTAATAGAACAAAATTCAAGAAACTGTTCAATGATTAGGTGGCATGTGGTAGGAAATCCCCCCCTATCTTGGAAACCCTTTCTGGAGCAACCAGTTCCATGGATTTTGGAGATCGATTACTCAAGCCCACCACGGCCTAACCCATTAGTGTTAAAATAATAATTTATATCAAATATAAATAAAATGGAATCATAAGAACCAACCACATTAGAAATGGAAATGGACCATCCGCATAAAAAAAATGGTGTTAAATATGTGACTTTTCGGAAACAACATGTACCGATCATCAACTTTTTGTCTTTAATTTATTATTTATATTGCAAATACCATAGGTTTTAAGAAACGGATAACAAATTCTAGATTTAAAAGAAACTTTTATTAATTATATATACAAAATTTCACAAACATGATGTAATAAGAAAATGAAGTTGGAAAATGTCGATTTATAATGATTGTCGTTTTTCATTGTCAATTATCATCATAATCAGACACATGTTATAATCCATATTATGGGATGCAAATGCGAGCCAATTTGGCTTAGTGCCACTGAAACGAATTAAAGACCTTTTTGCAATTATTTCTTTTCAGTTAGCAATTACAAAAACGAATTAAGAGCTATTAATCATAGAGTTCGGTTTTGATTTCTTGATTAATTGTCTTATTTAATTGTGACAGTTACACTACTACAAAAGCAAAAATAAAATACGGTTGAAAAATCAATTAAAATACGGACATTGAAGCGTATTCTAATAGAACGTGTTTTATTTGAAGAAGCAATAAAATACAGTTATAGAACCGTATTCTATTTAGAAGATATAATACGGTAAACTATGCATAGAATACGGTTCTAGAACCGTAATCTATATGGAATATATAGTACGGTAATCTAAATAATATAATACGATTGTAGAACCGTAATATATAAGAAGATTTAATACGCTAATCTAGGAAATAGAATACGGTTTTAGAACCGTAATGTATATATCTATTAATAAAAAAATCAAATATAAAAAAGTTTCGAAACCAATTATACCGGTCTTCCGCTTCATACATGGATATGTGTGTTTATAAAGTTCAGAAACTTAGCCATGAGAAATTAAAAAAATTAATA